CATTCTAAAGTATACCAAAAAAAAAAAAAAATTCCCAGAATAAATTTGCATCTATTAATTGGATCTTCACGCTTTTAGATTCAATCTTAAAGGTTCGAAGATGTGACCTCAAATATGTTAATTTATTAGTGCAGACGATATTTGAAGTTTCGAAATCAGACACAAAAATGCATTTTCTCTGAATAAACATACCTTTTGTTTTCGACGGATTCGGATAACTAACCCCCGAAATGTGGTCACAATGTGAGAAATATGGTCAAAATAGTTTGGTCAGGGGAGAGGTCCAAAGTTTGGACCTCTTAATGTTAATTTTACTTTTTAGGTATTCCGATATATCTCGAGCACTTTTTAAGCGAATTGAAAATTTTTTACCCATCTATATATATATTTCTCTTACACGGCACCAAAAAAAAGCCTCATTACAACTCCCCGAATGGCAACGTTAGAAAATCGACCAATGATTGCTGCTAAAAATGTCACATGCCAAATCCAGCTCAGGTGGCTCAACATATAGCGCTTTCAAAAACGGAAACAATAACCAGAGTGATCATTATCAGGTTGTTCAATTCAGATTCATGCCCTAAAAACATGATAATATTTAATTTAAACTCAATTAGGAATTAATTAATTAATTGAAGTGAGAATGCTTTAAAAGGCCGCTGTTGAATTGATATTTTTCTACTGGGAGCTATTTAAACGTATAAAAAACGTCTAAGTGTTTGTATTGAATGCATTGAATTTTTTTATATTTTGCGTTTATATACGCATTGAATTTTCACCCCTTCAAATGCAGAATATTAGTGAAGCTGCTAGGGCTTTTAAACGTAATGAAAGAAAACGTGTTCGAAGAGCCCAAGAAAGTGTTGAGGAATGTTATGGAAGACGTAGATTGCAGAGATCAAGTGTAATAATAACTGTTCAAGATGTAACAGTAGATGTCGAAGAGTATAATATTGGCTCAATGACGGAACAATGTAGTTATTGTAATGCTTACTTCTGGGCCAAAGAACAAATGTACGAAATGTTGCCACGATGGAAAAATTAATTTGCCTACAGTAATGGACATTCCCGAGTTGCTGCTGAAATTATTAAGTGATAATTCGATTGAGGCACGAAATTATCGAAATCATATCCGGGAATATAATTCTGCTCTTGCTTTTGCATCATTTGGAGCTCGCATAAAGCCACCTCCTGGAAATGGACCGTATTTTTTTCGGATTCATGGTCAAATTTATCATATGGTGTCACCTTTGTATAGCAATGATCAAAATAATGCTGGATACGGGCAGCTGTATATTTTTGATTCAACTGAAGCTACCAACAGACGCATTGAAAACAATACTGGATATTTACGCTCTGTAATGGAACAATTAGATAGTCTATTGAGGCAAATTAACCCTTTTGCTGCATCATATCTTCAGATGCATCAGTTTATTCAATTAAACCCTGCAGCAGATGTAAACTTAGTTTTTATGGAAGATCCCCCTTCAGATCTGAGACGGTATAATGCTCCCACATCAAAGACAGAAGTTGCTGCCATATTCGTTGGAGACAATGGGGAACCTCCATCTAATCGAGATTTGTGCATCTATCCTGTTGCAGACTCTTGCAAAACTATTTCTCCTATGAATCCATGCATTGATCCAATGGTCTATCCACTTCTCTTTCCACAAGGAGATTGTGGTTGGCATGCTGAAATGGAGAGTGGATGTACAAGAGCGGCGTACTGCCAAGCGTATCCGTGTAACCCAATTACAGTATTATGCTTACAGACTTGCTATCCGCAGTGAGTTCAGCCTTCTTCATAGCAGTGGAAAGCTCTTTCAGCAGTTCATCGTTGATGTTTATGTCAGAACAGAAGGTTCCAGATTGAACTATTTAAGATTGAATCAGAAAGATTTACGTGTTGAGTTATATCAAGGTCTTTTGGACGCTCTTCAAAGTGAAGCCCACTCAAACAATGTAAAGTTAGGGAAGTTGATCAGTTTGCAATCAACCTTTCGAGGATTTCCTCGCTCCATGCAACAAAATTATCAAGATGCCATGGCAATTGTTAGAAAATTTGGGCGACCAGATATTTTTCTAACTTTTACATGCAATCCAGCATGGCCAGAAATAGCGAGTGCTCTACAAAGACACCAGCGTCCTGAAAATAGACCCGATATCATTGTTCGTGTCTTTAAATTGAAATTGACAGAACTTTTGGATGATATTTTGAAACGTCATGTATTTGGTAAGGTTATTTCATTTATTTTTGTTATTGAATTCCAAAAACGTTGGGTTACCACATGCCCATATGCTGTTGACATTGGATTCTGCTGCTAAAATTCGAACTAAAGATGATATCGACAAATTTGTGAGTGCAGAACTGCCCAATAAAACTCTTAACCCTAGACTTTATGATATGATTACAAAATGTATGATTCATGGTCCCTGTGGCATACTTAATCCAAATTCTCCTTGCATGAAGGAGGGTTTGTGTTCTAAAAATTTTCCGAAAGATTTTCAAGAGACGACTCAGGAAAATGTGAACGGTTATCCAGTTTACCAGAGAAGTATTACAGAACCTATCAAGGTAGGTAAACATGATATTGATAATCGTTGGGTTGTGCCTTACAACCCTTGGTTATCAAAGAAATTTAATGCTCACATCAATGTTGAGATTTGTGCTTCGGTCAAAAGTGTGAAATATCTTTACAAGTATGTTTACAAAGGCCATGATGCTGCATCTATTAAATTGCAGTTAAACGATGATGTAAATCACGATGAGATTTTGACATTTCTAGATGTCGGTGCTCCTGAGGCAATATGGCGGCTAAATGAATTTCATATGTCTGAAAAATCCCACACTGTTATGAGGTTAGCTGTTCACTTACCAAATCAACAGCAAGTAATTTATCAGAGTGGCCATGAAGTTGAAGCTGTTGCTCGAGCCTCCGCCAGACATACGACTTTAACAGCATGGTTTCAATTAAACCAAACTGATGTTGATGCCTGCAGATATTATTATTCTAATATGCCTCATTATTATGTTTTTGATCGTAGTAATAATCGGTGGAAAAGACATGAAAGGGGTTGGGACCAAATAATAGGCAGGATGCCCGTTGTCAGCATTCAAGATAGCGAACGTTATGTTGCTGCTGCGGAAACCTGGTGCCATTAGTTTTGAAGATTTAAAAGCAGTTAATGAAAATGTCTGCATCAGTTTTCAGCAAGCATGTAGGGAGCTTGGCTTTCTTGAAGGAGATGAGTATTGGCATGATACTTTGCGTGAGGCTTCACTGATTCGAATGCCACATCATTTGCGAATGCTTTTTGCAGTTATTTGCGGATTTGGTGAAGTAGAAGATATTTCTGCTCTTTGGACACAGCATAGAGATCTCCTTTGTGAAGATTTTGCGCTCCAGCACTCGGAGGAAACAGCATATCAGTATGCTCTTGCTGAAATAAATGATCTATTGTTAGTTTATGGGTTAAATCTGAGGAAAGTAAGACTTCCAGAGGTTAACTTGCCTCATATTAGCCTACTTTTACCAGCCTATGATGTGGTAGAAGAGCAGACAAAAGGTCAACTTAACTATGGAAAGCTAAATATTCAACAACGTGCTGCTGTTGATAAAGTTATGAGTGCCATTTATAAGAATGAAGTTGAAAAACTTTTTTTTCTAGATGGGCCTGCCGGCACTGGAAAAACTTTTATTTATTCAACTTTGTTGCACTTAATCCGTGGAAAAGGTCATACAGTGACTCCTGTAGCATCTACTGGAATTGCGGCTACTCTTTTGAAAGGCGGAAGAACTGCTCATTCCATATTTAAAATACCAATTATTTTAAACGCTACTTCTACATGCAATTTAAAACCTACATCTCCAGAAGCTATTCCATTATTTAATTCTAAATTAATTACATGGGATGAAGCTCCGATGACGCATGTGCATGCATTTCTAGCTGTAGATAGACTTTTGCAGGACATAATGAGCTGCTCACATCCTTTTGGTGGGAAAGTTGTGTTGATGGGAGGAGACTTTCGACAAGTTTTGCCTGTCATTCCTAAAGGTTCCCGTTCGCTGACAATTGCTAGCTGTCTTAAAAAACATCCCCTTTGGAATAAATTCAACATCTTATACCTTAATCAAA